GATACATTTATACAAATATAAATATTGTAAATATGTTGTAAGTAAATCATTTGCAGACATAATTAACACAACAAAATATCTTAAAAATCCACAGGCTATATGAAATGAAAATTACTCACAAATTGAATGTGAAATATTTAATTTTTTACGCTTGATCTTAGCCAAAAGGCTGAGAAGCAATAATATTTAACTTTTTAAAAAGGGCCTTAAGAAATAAAATGTGTCAATGATACCATTATTGTATTATCATATTTTTACAGAAAAATTTTCTGCTATTTCAAATTGGTTCCATTTCCTACTTACTAGTTGACCAAATGGTAAAGAGATATTTGTGATTCTTTACCTTCAAATGATATCCTCTTGATTAATTACTTTAAGTTTTTTTCTCCTTATTCAAAACTTTTCATTTTATTTTATTACTTTAACAGCTTATTTTTAACTTGGTTGTTCTGTTCCATTTATGTAATTGAATATTTTGAGACAGAATTATGTGAGCCACTTTTAGAATGGTTATTTGCTCCAAAAGTCTATGAACTTCAGTGAGAATTGTTTTTGTAATAGAAACATTATCAATTGTCATTTTCTTTCTCCTCCTGAATATCATGGTGGTTTGGAAAACAGTTTTTACATTTTTCAAAAAGTGTCTCATCATAAGTTGAATAATTATGGTGTCAGTCTTGATCTCAAGACAAATCATTCGTATTTAAATTTTTTTTAAGATAAAAATTATCAGCCACTTACGGACCATCTCCTGGACTGGTCTTTCTATCCACAAAGAGCCCCGTGGCTTCATTCAGCTGTTTTCTGTTAGGCAGTTTTCACAAGTTACGCTGTGGTTTCAGTCAAGCAATTACAAATACAGTCTTTCAGTGACTTAAAACAAGAAAATATCTAATTCATGTTAAGCGTCTCTCTTTAGTCAATTCTGCCTGTTTCATGTTATTCCAGGAGCAGCTGCTATCAGAGAAGTGCAAGTTTTGTGGCATATGAGAAAGAGGGGTGGTAAATCTACTCTGTGGCTCTTACAGCTCATGTTAGGAAGTAGCAGAAATCACTTATACACCACTAGACAGGAAATCATAT